TCTCAAGTCTTGCCTCTCTTCACTCTCACTGCTACCATCTTAATTCAGATTCTGATAGTGTCTCACCTAGACAGCAGCCCCAGCTTTCTGAGATCTCTGTACTATTGCCTCTCTACTCCAGAGTGCTACCAAATTCATATCCTTAAAATGTATGCATTCTCGACTTGTCAGTTTCATCATCTGGACCTGTATGTTAGAAAGTTTGTTCTGCTGAGAGTGGCATTAAATCTTAAAATTTCAATGAACTTAAGTGCACGTCATAGCGACTGGTCAACCGGTCGACTGTCAGCTCCCTTGTGGTCAGTGCATGCCATAGCAACTGGTCAACTGTCTGCCCCCTGGTGGTCAGTGCATGCCATAGCGACTGGTTGACCGGTCAGCTCTCTGCCCCCTGGTGGTCAGTGCATGTGATAGCAAGCGGTTGAGCCTTAGCATATTACGCTTTGATTGGTTCAATGGCTGACCGGACGACCGGACACTTAGCATATTAGGCTTTTATTATATAGGATAACATAAAAAAAGGCCAGAGATAGGCAGGTCAGAGCTTGTAGGATAGATCCACATACTTCAGCTCATTCTGTTGTGCTGCTCTGCACAGTAGGGAGCACCCTTGTCTTGTGACCTCCAGTACCAAGATGAGTGCCTGAGGTCCAATAATCACATCTACATTCCAGCCAGCAAGAAGGAAAAAAGAAAGAGGGAAGGTGTATCCTTTAAGAATACTTCTGATAAGTCACAACACTTTAACCTGCATCTTACTGGCTGAAACTTAGACATATAGGCCATGCTTAGTTTGCAGTAAGGCTGAGGAACGTAGTCTTTTAACTAGTATACCCAGCTAAAAATTGTAGTTCTTATTATTAGGAAAGAAGAGAATAGACAATTGAGTTGTAACTAGAGTCCCTGCCATAGGACCCATCCCACCTCTCTGTCAGCCTTGTTCTTCTCTCCATCCCAGGCCCTGCCCGCCCAACACTTGTGTTCTCAACATGTTAGTAGCTTCAGTAGGCCCTTTCACAGCTCTTGGCCTTTACCTGAAATGCCCTTCACCTTTCTTATCTCTCTTTTAATTATCTATACATCCTTCAAGCTCCAAGTCACTTCCTCAGAGAATTTTTTCCCCTTAACAGTGACAGCACATTACTTCTTACTTGAGCATGTAGCAGTGGAAGAGCTTCATGAACTTACTAATAGTAGTAACAGACTTGGGTTTGAATTTCTTCTTGCAGCTTGAGCTGGAAAGAATAAATATGGAAATTCTCAGCACAAAAATTGTATTTAAAGCCACAGCCCAGATTTCCCTTTTTGAAAGTTTCAGACCTTCATGTTGAACTGTCTCTCAACATTATGACTTAAGGGTTTCACAGGTAACCTCTCAAATAGAACCATCTCTCAAATAGAACTCTTGATTTTCACCTTATTCTCTAGTCTTTCCTGTGCCAATAATGATGCCTCCTCTGCCAACCTAGCTGCAGATGCTGGAAACCTGGAAATAACCCTAAACTCTGATATCTACCACCAGTCTATTAGATCAACTCCAAAATAGGTCTTAAACTGATCCTTTAATATGTATATGTATATTTCAGAGAGGAAAAGAGAGGTAGAAAGAGATAGAAACGTCAATGATGAGAGAGAATCATTGATTGGCTGCCTCCTGCACACCCCTAACTGAGGATTGAGCCTGAAACCCAGGCATGTGCCCTGACCCAGAATCCAACTGTGACTTCCTGGTTCATAGGTTGACGCTCAACCATAGAGCCACACCGGCTGGACTTAAACTGATCATTTTAAATCCATTTCCAATGCTTGCATCTAAGCACTATCCTCCATGTCTGGACTACTATAGGTATAAGCCTGCTGTAATCTAACCTCGGCAGTGTCATTTTCTTGCCTAAAATGGTTAGTGAGCTTCTTATTGTGTTTAGGTTTAACTCCAGAACTCTTAAATCCTAGAAAGCCCCACCTGAATTGACTCCTGTTTGCCTCATTCTCATCTTTTGTCTTGTATATTCCTGCTCACTGTGCTCTAGCCACATAGCCTTCTTTCTCTTCCCTTGATTGTGCCAAGAACTTCCCACCTCTGGCTCTTCCCTAGTGACATTCCCAACCCTTATGTTCCCTTCTTCACTCCTAAACACACCATCCTCATTGTCTTAGCTTAAATGTCACCTCCACACAGAGCCTTTTCCTCACTTCTTAATGTAAATCATATGTCCTTTCCTCTTATTCCTAAGGGACTATTCTTTCCTTTCTACCATTCATCACAACTTATAACTTTATATTTATTGAGTCATTATTTATTGAATATCACTCCCACATTAAGGTATATGTTCTATATGGGCTTGGACTATATTTCTTTTATTCACCACTGAATCCTCAATGCCCAGTGCTCAATAAATACACATGGAATAAATGAATAAATAAGTGATCTTGAGATTAAACAATGCATTAAATTGGCAACTTTGCTATTCAGTGTGGTGAAATGTAATTGTGGGAAACCTATTAAGGTGATTCACCTTTCTAAACTGGCATTGTGCTTCTTCATATTTATTGAGTACATCTATGATGTTTACCCGCAGGGCTGTAAACTTAGGTTAATTTATTAGTTCAACTCCAAAATGCATCTTTGTCTGAACAAAGCCTTATTTCTGCCAGGATATTCTTATGAACATAGAACCTGAAAAGGTCATGTTCAGGTATGATGTCTGAAAGTCATGATTGGGCCCACTGCCATGGCTTGCCCTCTTTCTTTGGATATAGGCTGGCATAACCTTTGGAACTGAAGACTAGCTTGTTGTTGGAGTGGAATTTAAACCAACAGTCATAAGATAGAGCCGTCAGAAGGCTTTATGCCTAGGATATGGGGTACATTGGAAAAACCCTCACTACCCTGTATTTACCAACTCTTGTGCTCAAATATTAGATATGTAGGTACAGTGTACTTGTTCATGGTAATTCCAGGCTCATTATCTTTCCTGAATTACCTTGTTCTGCAGAACATATTGGCAAAATATGTATGGAACAGATAAAAAACTTGTGTGGGTTTTTCTCCCTAAGAGTATAAGAGGTGTTGTTCTGGAAGCATCCAATGTTTTTTTGGAATCCTGAACTATGGTCTAAAATAAAAGATGAACTTGGATGATGCTCCTCTTTAAGAAAAAAAAATGTATTTTTATTGATTTCAGAGAGAAAGGGAGAGGGAGAGAGAGATAGAAATATCAATGATAAGAGAGAATCATTGATCGGCTACTCCTGCACACCTCCCACTGGGGTTCGAGCCCACAACCTGAGCATGTGCTCTGACTGGTTATCGAATTGTGACCTCCTGGTTCATAGGTTGACACTCCAACACTGAGCCCCACCGGTCAGGCTGAATCCCCTCTTTTACTGGTGGACAGCATGACCAACAATGGGAAAGTTATTGTTTGTTTTTTCCTTTTGGTAAACAATGAAAATTTTGCTTTCAGTGGGCACTATGGTAGGTATATTTCAACATAGATGGAAAAGCAAACGGTTGATCATTTTTACCCCAGTAGGTTCAGATCATGTCAGTGTTTCCAGAGTATGCTCACAGTGGTAAAAATTGGCTTTAAGCTGAGGCTTTCTAAGAGGCAGCTGGTCCTTAAAAGAAATTATTTATTTATTTTGGCCTTGGTAATATCCAATTGATGATAAATACAAGTCTCTCTTGGCTCAATGGAGTGGGTCCCACATGAATTGGTTGTGGCCCCCAAAATCCAAAAACTCTAGTATAGTTGGCTAAGACTATTTTGTGGCATGGGGGAAATCTAATGTAATGCATGAAAGTACAAAATATTAAATGTTCAAAAGTGTGTAATTTGCTGCTTTTGTTCATGAGAGGTTTTAATACTTCTGGTACAGAGCCTAATTCTCTTTACTGGGGAGATGTGGTTTCAGTTTCTTGGGTGAATGTGCATTTTATAAGTTTTTTAAGAAAGGAAATTAAACATTAAAAGACTTTAAGTGATTTACTCTTTATATAATGTCACTAAGAAAGCGAGGAAAATCAGGGTTGGCATTTTTATTTATTTATTTAACTAGAGGCCCGGTGCATGAATTCATGCACCAGTAGGGTCCCTTGGCCTGGCCTGCACGATCAGGCCAAAATTAGCTCTCCGACATCCCCTGAGGGGTGGATTTCGAGAGGGTGCAGGCCAGGCTGAGGGACCCCACTGGTGCACTATAGGGGCTGGGGAGGGACACGGGAGGTTGGCCAGCTGGGGAAGGACCGCAGGAGGGCTCCACGGTGTATCCGGCCCGTCTCACTCAGTCCTGTACAGCCAGACCCCAGCAGCAAGCTAACCTACCACCGGTCGGAGCATCTGCCCCATGGTGGTCAGTGCACATCATAGAGAGCCGTTGAGTGGCCTTAGCATATCATTAGCATATTACGCTTTGTCTGGTTGAATGGCCCACCAGACCAGACACTTAGCATATTAGGCTTTTATTATATAGGATAAGTATAATTTATTTTCCACCATTTTGTTTGTTATGGCTGATACCAAACTACTTTTGAAAGTTAACATTTATTTTGATTTTGTTTTTTTTCAGCAGATGTACATAATAAAATAACCTATCTCTATTCTTCATTGTAGGCAGGGACAGTATTTAACATATAGTGTTTTTGGCATTTTGACACATAGGTGATTAAGTTTAATTCAACATAGTTTGATGCTCTCCATATGTATGATGTTTAGCATATGAATAGTGTTAAATGGGTAAAATGTGGTCTGCTGAGTGTGAGCATTAATGCAAGTAGGTGATTTGATTGACCTTAGCCAAGTCACATAACCAGTGAGGGCCTGAGTTTCCATTGCCATAAAATGAGTGGTTTGGGGTAAATGGTATCCAAGAATCCTATAGCTCTGAATTTAAAAATCCCATGAGTCTGTATGACTAATACATTATGCCTAATACATTATGCCGAATACATATGCGTTTTATTCCTCCTCTTCTTTTTCTTTCTGTTTTTAATTAAGGTGAAGAGGATGCTGGTGCACCAAGTACAAAAGATGAGAGCACCTCCATGGCACAGGACACAAGCGCTTTACCAGAGAGGTCACTGCAAAGATCAGCAAAGGTCATTGCCTACAGATTTCCCTATTTGTCCAAATGGCTGTCACCTGAGCTACCTGTCAAAGGTCTCTCGTGGGACACTTAGGGCTGTAGTTTTAGTCAATTAATCAGAACAGTCAGTGGAAGCAGGGTATTATAAAAAGTAAATCTTTTTTTATAACTGTAAACATGTAATAAGTTCATTTGCCTGCCTTTGGATGAAGGGCCAAGGCCTTTTCTTTGTATGTGGGTAAGTTTATTGAAGTTCTGCATTATTATTATTATTATTATTATTATTATTTTTGCTTAAACCACACTCATAATGTGGCATCTGTGATTTCCAGTTTGGGTTATTTAAAGTGGAGTGAGAATTTAGACACTGGTGAAGGAATCAATATTAATGTTCTAGATTTTTATAGTTTTTATTCTTCATTATTTTTAAAATTAATCCTCACCTGAGGACATGTTCATTGATTTTTAGAGAGAGGTGAGGGAAGAGAGAGTGAGAAACTTTGATGTGAGAGAAACATCGATTGGTTGCCTTCCCTACACACACCGACCTGAGATTAAACCCTTCACCTAGGTATGAGCTCTGACCAGGAATCCAGCTCTCAACCTTTTGGTGTATGGGATGATGCTCTAATCAACTGAGAACACCAGCCAGAGCTCCATTGTTGTTTAGTTGTTGTCATGCTCATATGTAATTCAAAAGTAAGCTTTTAAGAAGTCTCTCTTAATTTTTCCAAAATGTTTAATTTAGTTATCATAGAAATGAAAACAATTGATTTTGTTGTTTTGCATAATTCAGTTTTATTGTTTAATTATGTATGCAGTGGCATGATCAGATATGGGATCAAACATAGCTGACCCCAGCTAAGTAGCTCATGGTGGAGGAAGCGGTACACAGGCAAAGAATGAGGTGGCATAATGGCGTGAGGCTTCCTCTGCCCGAAGCATAGACAGCACGTTTAACTGGGGAATGCAGTTTTGCTGCTCAGTCTAGGGAGTTAGTTAGGAGAGTCTCAAGAATGTCTCCTGCATAGTGACATGAGGAATTTCTAAATCATATCGCATACATGTTACCCACAATTCCCCATCCAGTTATCTAGATCTTTATTTTAATAAGCATTTTCAAATCTAACCATGTGACAGGCAGTATGCGAGGTGTGGAAGATTATAATGAATGGAAATCCTGTGGGCTAGGTCTGGCTCACAAACTTGTGTTTTGTTTGACCTGAGCAGTATTTAAAGATTTTTACTTGGTAGCTTACATTAAAAAAAGAAAATTGGAGTGGTCACATAAAAAAAAATTAGACTTCTGGCTTCTCCTGACAAAACAAAACATCGGCAACACTGGGCCACATTCTGAAATGACTTTAGTCAGAGCTGAATAGTGGCAGCTGGTGATGGAACTTGTGTTCTGTAATTTGCTACTGCCCTCCAATGGTACTCTCTCTCTGGCTGGTTTTTGTTTTGTTTTGTTTTTTTTTTGATGGGGGGTGGGGAGATGGAAGGATAGTTTCTTAATAAATTCAAACTAAAATTACAAGCCCAAACAACACTTGTATGGGAAACCTATGCTGTGGTCAAGTCATTTCTATGACAACTAATGTATGAATCATAAGTAATGTCCAGCTGCTTTATACACTTCTCATGCTGTCAAATATTAAAACTAGAAGCAAGGACTTCTGGTTCAGACAAGATGCCATAGATTCATTTCTCCTTGCTCTTCTCTACTAAGTACAACTATAAACCCTGGAATATAACAAGAGACAACATAGGAAGAATTCTGAAAGGGGAAAAGAGGAAGGCAACTAGTTAGGGGCTCCAGTCTAGGGGAACAACATAGCAGCAGGAGACTTCACAGTCCCCCACCAACAGAAATAGCAACTACTTAGTCACACAGCTTCCCTGAGAGACACTTCATATAGACCTGGAAAAACTGCTGGACCCAGCTGGTTGACCAAATAATTTCCTGCTGACCTCTCCCAACTGTTCCTCAGTCCTGGAGCTAAGCAGCATTGAGTATGTCTTTGGTGTTTGCAGGTGGTTTACATCGTGGAGAAAAAGCATTCCCGAGCAGCAACTGGCTTCCTCAAACTCCTGGCTGATAAGAACAGTGAACTGTTCAGGAAATATGCCCTGTTTTCTCCCTCAGACCACCGAGTGCCCAGAATATACGTGCCTCTCAAGGACTGTCCCCAAGACTTTGTGACCCGGCCTAAAGATTATGCCAATACACTGTTCATTTGCCGCATTGTGGACTGGAAGGAGGACAGCAATTTTGCCTTGGGGTAGGTGAGCTCTGGCAAAAAAACCACAGATCCCACACAGAACTTGGTTTAGGGGGCCTTTAGGTAAACTTTTTTGTTATATTTTAATTATTATTTCTTATTAAAACATGGGTACTTTACATATTTTGGTCCTGGTTCTTAAGAAATTGACCTTAGCTACCACCTCAAGTGTTCACCTATAGGTTCCTTGAATTGCGAGGCAGTCACCTTTTCAGTTTGTTTTTGTTTTTTTGACATAAAATATAAGCACATTCTGAACCTATACATACATATTTCCTGTCATGTATCCTGTTTGTATTTGTGAACTGCAAAGAATTCATCACATCAAACAATCAGACCCATCCTTTCAGACACTAGTGTTAATATATGCAAGTCAAGGCATATTCAAGGGATCCCGGTCTCCCATGTTTTAAATCTGAATATGAAGGGATGTTTGAATGATGTGCTTTTTTGACACTAATCTTCATATTTTTCACTTATGGCATTAAAAACAAAATTACCTTACTGTAAGCAGGAAAATGGTACCATTTTTAAATGGAAGCTATCAGAAACCAATCTAACTTAAATATAGATTATGTGGTTGCAGGGCATCATGGATAGCCACTTTATTTTGATCTGAAGAAACTGCTGAACCCAGCTGTTTGATCAAATGCTGTGCCTGTCTTCTTATAATTGGTATTCAGTTTGAAAGAAAAGCAGTCTTAAGTTTTAGCTAAATCTTTAGCTCTTTATTATTGACTAGAGGCCCAATGCATGAAATTCATGCAAGGGGCTCAGCCCTTGCAGCCATGGCGGCTTGCCTCAGCCCTGCAGCTCTGGCTTCGTCTGGAAGGTCGTTCGGCTGTCTGGTCTAATTAGCATATTATGCTTTTATTATTATAGATGATGTCTGGTTTATGCTTCACAGGAAATGAAAATAAAAGCATACAAGTTAGAACAGAGTTTGTTCTGACACTTTTTGTACATTTTGGTGATTTGCTTGTTGATCATCTAACTTGTACAGGATGGAGCCTCCTAGGAATGTTCTATGGTTATGAGTGCCAACACTGAATGGATGGCCATACTGTGCTGCTTTGATCAAGTTTATTCTATACTTAACCTCTTATGCCCAGTGAAGTAAGTCAGATCAAATCTGTATGTCATACCAATGCAATTTAAGAAGCACTATTCTATGCCACTCTTTCAGTGATATGAAGATCATCATGATTTATATGATCTCAGAACCACTCAGGAACAGTTGTACTTTCTTTTTTACTCTCAAGTAGTGTGATTGCAATGTCATCATTTTTTTAAGCCTAAATCATTATCCAAAAGTGACGTCAATCCCTTGAGCTCTAAATAGTCCTTCTCAGAGGCTTGCCAGTTTCTCACCATTAACTCGAAAGGCCCGATAGTAGCTGTGCCACCTGGCTTCTGTTGATTGTGGCTGCCACACTCTGCTTGGCAGTGAAAAGGGAAGCCTTTCACATCACAGCAGGAAATCCAGCCTTGTCTTTTATCTGCCTTTCTGTCACATCCCATCCTGTATACTTGATTGGACTTCTTCCTTAGTTTTCAAGTTGTAAGGGTGTAGTCAGGAAATCTTCGGGTGTGAGTTTCTCTTATTGCTCGAATGGCCTTGCAGGTTCCTTTTTTTTTTTTTTTTACAGTTGAGCCATTATTTCATCAAGATTTCTTTTTCTTGTGGGTAAAGTACACTAATAATTGAAAAAGGAATCAGCCCTTTAAAGCAGCAAGGACATTTGCTGAATATTAAGAAAGAATATTTAAAAATAATAACCATATGTTAATTATATTCTTTTCAAAATAAAAAAAAGGAAGATTCTCATACTTAGATGGAAAACTCTGCTAACTTTTCCTCTATTTTCTTACTATGAAGACATTAAGAATGATCTTTTATGGAAATATGCCTTTTAAAATCTTTGTGAAAAAGAGAAAATGTATCTGAAATAAAATATGGCAGGTTTTCATGATGCAGTTCTCAGATGACGTCTGTCTTCTAAGGGGTGTGGGCTGCAGCTGCTGAGCTTGTTGGTGGTCGCCTTACCATTGGTTCTGGCTATCAGTTACTGATCTTTAGGAGCTGAGGTCACTGTTTCCTAATCAGAACATGCTGTGCTAGGACTGCCTAGGTCAGTGATGGCGAACCTATGACACGCGTGTCAGAGGTGACATGTGAACTCATTTTTTTGGTTGATTTTTCTTTGTTAAATGGCATTTAAATATATAAAATAAATATCAAAAATATAAGTCTTTGTTTTACTATGGTTGCAAATATCAAAAAAATTCTATATGTGACACGGCACCAGAGTTAAGTTAGGGTTTTTCAAAATGCTGACACGCCGAGCTCAAAAAGTTCGCCATAACTGGCCTAGGTTTTCTCTATCATCCTGGCCAGGTTTCTATCAGGAGTGTGAATGTAGTACTTGCTATGGGTGTAAATGTGTGTGGTTAGCTTCTGCAAAAACTGTGCCTAAAAACTGAGGTTAGCCAAAGAGGCTTTCTTTTGAATTTTCTCCCTGCCCCTACTTTCTACCCTTAGAAATATCAAACAACTTCTGCCTGTCTAATTGCTACTAATTATTCAAGTCCAAAGTCATTTACTTCTTCTGTAGTTAAATTCAGTTCATGGGCAAGTGTTGATCAGCTCTGTGTAAGTCACTGTGCTATATTGTATGAGAAATAGAAAGGTAGAAAGCTATGGTTTCTTTATTCAAAGAAATTATAGCCCAGTGGTCGGCAAACTCATTAGTCAACAGAGCCAAGTATCAACAGTACTTCTTCAAAATAGACTTGCCCAGGCTGAAAACCGACTTGGGCCATGGGCCATGAGGTTTCAATCGTACTGTACGTGCGGGCGTACGTGGTATTTTGTGGAAGAGCCACACTCAAGGGGCCAAAGAGCCGCATGTGGCTCGCGAGCCGCAGTTTGCCGACCACGGTTATAGCCTAATGTGGAAGGACTTGTACATAAATGTCACAGGATTAATTTGATTCCAAGAAATAGAATCCTAATTGAACTGGTTTAAATAAAAATGGTGATTATTATAAGAAACTGGTGGTCCTCCTCAAATCCAGGGCCAGAAGTATAGGCAGGTCTCATGAGGAACTCAGAACTAACAAGGTGGCAAAGGAATCACAGCTTCTCTCTCAACCACCCTGACCAGTCCAGCCACCACGTGGTATCATTTCTCTATCCCTTTCTACACACAAGCAGTATTATTCTGCTTCTTTCTTAACAGTTTCCACCTACCTACTCAGTACCACGCATGGCCCTAAAATGGTACTGCTGGGCCTCTGCAGGTCACATACCAAAGTCTAGATCACAATACAGAATTTCTGCGGTAGAAAATTTTATTGATCTAGCTTGAGACAATTATTTGCCCTGGTCAGTAGTTTTAACTAGAGGTAGGAGTCCAAGGTCCCATGACCTACTGCCCAGTTAGCATGGCTTTCCATGCAGGAGTGTGGATACAGCAGATAGATTGAATGCTTATGTCTTTTGAGCTCTAATTATAGTATGAAAGAGAATGTTCTAAGTTCTTCCATAGGAACAAAATAATTTTCTGGAAGTTTAGAGGAGGTGGATGAAGGGAGAAATCCAGGATTGTTTCCTGGAAAATGGAAGCCTCCTTGCTAAAAGATCAGTCACTGAGAGCCTAGAGTGGATGGGAAGGGACATGACTGGAAGCAAGCAGTCATAATAGGCTTTTGCAGTAAGATGAGAGGGGAGAACCTGCAGGAGAGGAGTTGCAATGAAGGAAACAAGAGAAAGAAAAGATTCAGGGGAAATGAAGAAGGTCAGTTCTCCCAGGCATGATGACCGATTGCAAATGGGGCATGAAGGAAAAGGACAGAATCTTGGATGAACTTTCAGACTTCCAACTTGTGTGATTGGGTAGGTGATGATGGCATGTAACCACGGTTCTCTGAGAGCAACCTCAGCTCCCACCATTCCCTTCACTTATGCCTCATTGCTTGCTGTTTCGTTTCCCAACCTGACTGTGTTTGTTCATAGCTCCAAACTTTTGCACACTGCACTCCCATTCCCAACAGTGGCTTTCTCCTCTCCTCAGAGTTTATTTAGTGAAATACTCAATTTTTAAACTTTTATCAGTTGTCTAGTCGAAAAATGTTTCCTGACTCTAAGTCCTCCCTCTTGGGTGCTCTAATAGTTTCTAATAATACCTTTATTGTATCTCTCATCTGTTTGTATTGTAATTGCTTATGCAAGTTATTTACCTGGCCATGAGCTCCTTTAGGACAGGATACTGAGTGAACATTTTCTGGCTGATCAGATGGGTAGATGAAAATGATTTGATGACCCCTGACATTGATTAGGAAAATGTTGTACCATAAATCATGCTAGAATACATAGGAGAGGGTGTTTGGAACAGAAAATGATGAGAACTAAGGTTATATGATTTAAAAATCAACACTTGTTAACAACATACAGTCAGTATATAAACGTAGGTGGAGAACTCCTAACTTAGAGTGTTTGTTTTTTAAATAAACCTTTATTGTTGAGAGTATTACATATGTCCTCCTCTTTTCTTGCCCCTATTGCACTCCTCCACCTGGATGCTGCCCTGCCTTAGGCCTCCACCACCCTATAATTTGTGTCCATGGGTTTTGCATATATGCATATAAGTTCTTTGGTTAATCTCTTCCCGCCCCCTCTCTTCCCTTCCCTCTGAGATTTGTTAGTCTGTTCCATGCTTCCATGCCTCTAGTTCTATTTTATTCATCAGTTTATTTTGTTCATTAGATTCCTTGTTTGTTTATTTTGACTTTAGATTCAATTGTTGATAGAATTATATTTATTGCCACTTTATTCACATTTTTATCATTTTTTTCTTCTTCTTAAAGAAGACTATTCAACATTGATATATATAAAAGGCTAATATGCAAAGTGTCCTCTCGGGAGTTCGACCCAGAGACTGGGAGTTCGATTGCTCACTATGACATGCGCTGACCACCAGAGGGCAGTGTGGAATGAA